TCCATTTCATGTTTTCTCCCTAGCACCTGTATCAGCAATGACCCCATTTTACAGATGAGGAAAGCCAAGCCCAGACTGTCTAGGTCTCAACCACTGTACGAAACTCCCATGCACATCCAAGTGGCCACCACTGCTCATGTAGCTGACTGCTAACTGCCTTCTGACTGGCTTCTACACTCATCCCCTTCTGCCTGTTTTCCTTAGAGAGTTTTTTCATGGGTAACTGCAGCTGTCACTGCTCATCTTTGTGAAGCCTTTAGTAGCTTTCTGTCACACGTTGTGCCACCTTCGGACCTTGCCTTTTTTTCACCTCCATTCAGCCACTGGGACTAGCAGTCTTGAGAACATATCTCAGTCCTTGTCATGCTGGAATGCTTTTTCTCCCACTCCTGTACAACTACCTCCTTTTCAGCCTTCGGGGCAGTCTCACGTTAAATGTTACCTTCATAGTTCTCCACCCACATTTCTCTGTCTCAGTGCCTTGTTTTTTCCCTTGATACCATTCACTACAATTTGTAATCACTTAGTTGTGACCAGTTTTTGTTATCTTTCTCCATAGATTGCAAGCTCCATAAGGCCAGGGACCATGTTGCCTTATTTTGTCATATCCCAGGGCCAAATACAGAGCAAGGCACATAGTAGGCATTTGATAAATATTTTCTGAATGCAGGAATGAATGAAATGAGGCTGGATGTATGGAAAAGATACTGTTTTCCACTTGAATCCCTATTGCTGAAAGAGGCCATTCAGGAGCATAGAGGGAGAGAGAGGAAGGAATATTTTCAACAACAGCAGCAGTGATGAGAGCTGCTAAGGCTTACTGAGTACTTCCTGTCCACCACACACAGCTCTAAGCTCTTATTTATTAACTCGTTTAATCTGCATCTCAACCCTGGGTGTTAGGTATGATCATTATTGCCATTTGATGCATGGGAAAACTGAGGCATGGAGCACTTAAATAGCTTGACCTCGGTAGCACAGCCAGGAAGAGGTAAAACAAAGATTTGATCCAGGAAGTCTGGGCTCAGAGCCCATACACTTGGCCTCTAGGCTCTACCACTGTTTAGGGGTTGAGGTGTTCCAGACTCCTTCCATGGACTCAACCCCATTAACTTAAAAACTCACTCTGCAGCTAGAAGTGGTGAGTGTGATGGGGCATTAAATTCCATTATGTGGTCTAAGAATCCTTTAAAAGTATATATCATTGGAGTTATTAGTGTTAATTAAAGTCCTGTTTAGGATTTAGTTTGATTTTATATATGCAGGAAATGAAGTCAATTAGCTTCAACCTCTATTTGTGCCTACAGTTAAGGGCAAAATGAGCTTTGGGAAATTGTCTCTGGGTTTCGTTTTTCCTTCTAGGATGGTTGCTTCTTGTCTTTTCATAACATGAACATGCTAGCGTTAAAAGCCTGAGAGAGCAGAAGAGACAAGGTGGGGATACAAATGCATAGAGTTTATACATTGAGGGGAGCTGCTGGGAGCAGGTGTGGTGAGGTGCACCATCATGCTTCCTGGGAGCCCTGAGGGGCTGAATGTGCTAAGGTTACCATATTTGTCTTTTTCTAATGAATAGAAAAGGAATAAATCAGCATCTCTCATGATTTATCATGAGCTACTTTGCAGCCCGAGAGAAAGATAAATTGTTTCTGTGAAACACATTCAGCTCTGAGGTTTATCTTCTTGTACCTTGAAATCTCCTGTCTGCCACAATATTATCTCAAAAGGAATTAGAAACAGATAGAAGACCTGGGCTGCAAAATGAGAGGCAGAGTTGCCTACTCATTGAAAGAACTTGTCAAACTTGAATGTCAGAATTTTTTAAGATGAGAAACACCAAAAAATGAGGGTGCCTCAGTAGCTGAGGAAAGTTGGGCCCTTATATCAGTGAGTGAGCGAGCACCTGAGGGTGGAGTTAGAATGTGGGCTCTCATGGGAGTTGACTTCAGTCACTGGGCCACGGCCAGAGTACCCAGCCTGAAGTGCCCTTTCTTCTTCTGTACAGTAGAAGTCAGACTGATAGCACTGACTGTGGGCTAAGGCATGGCAGTAGGTCAGCCAGTGCCCACTGTTTGCCAGCTGTTCTTGTGATTATTTGCACCCCTTCCTGCATCAAGCCCAGTTCACAGTAGTCATGTGTTTCTTCTGGCACTGCTGGCATCGATGGCGCAGTAGCAAAACAAAACCCCTTCACAATCTAGGACCTGGGTCCCAACCCCAGCTTCTCAGGTGCCACACCACCAGTGGTGTGGACAGACGCTTACTCTCTGACCTCACTTTCCTCCTCAGTAGAGTGGGTAAGTTGAAGGATTGTGGTCTGGCTCAAGCAGGGTCACTGGTGGGAAAGCAAATGAGATGAAAAGGAATATACAGATTGCAAACTGGCAGATAATGCTGGTGTCAGAAATGAAGACTGTTCACAGGGAGATCATCCTCAGAGGAGAAAGATAACCCTGATGTCATGGCTCTAGCTTGTTCATAGATGTTTAGACTGAATGCAGTTTAAAACAGTACATGAAACCTCTGCTGAGTGAGTTAGACCAGTGGCTCCCTGATTACTCATTATAATCCCTGGGAGGCTTACAGACTACAGAGATTGGGGCCCAGGATCACGTACCTGTATTTTTTAATGCATGCCGGATGCTATTAGAGATTGCAAAAGGCCCTTCCGTGTCTAACAACAGTCTCTGATTTTTTAAAGCCCAAATCACTGGTTGTTCTGTTTGACTCAGGCAACTTGGTAGTTGTATCACAGAGGAAACCTGAAATTCGTGCAGGAGTCTGTGACATTGGGAGGCTCTGGGTTGCTGTGCTGAGGTCCATTTTGCCAAAACTAAGCTGATCAGTTTAACCTAAAAATGATCAATTCTTTTGACCTGAGTAACATTTTGTCATTGTTGTAGTACCTGGTTAATGGTAGGAGCTCAATAAAAATTGGTTGAATAACTAACCATCAGTCACCACCTATCTCAACATCACCTAAGGTGGCTTTGATAATTATTCACTATGTAGAATATCTATCTATCCTTTTATATAGAGAATACAAAGTTACTTATTCACTCTTCTGATAAGCCGTGAAGTCTCTGACAGAGGTAATGAGATTCAGGCCTCTGGAAGTATTTAAATAGAGGTGGATGATGAGGGTGGTGAGGGTCAGCCTCAGATGACCGTTAAGGTCTCTTGCAACACAGAACTTCTGGGATGTGAGTGTGTGTAAAATGCCTTCAGCCTTACACCTGTTCTTGAAATTTGAACAACAGAATGGGTGCAGATCAAATGCCACTCGTTCTAGGGGTGTGGATTTTCCTTTGGGATCAAGAGCCCCAGTGCTACTGTTTTGAAAGATTATAGAAGTTTCTCTGCATTTGGGAAAGACTGATACACTTCTCTGCCATTTCATATTCTAGGCTTTATGATGAAAAGGAGTACTCAATTAAGATTAAAGTGAAAAGCTCAGTGTTGGAAGTGGATCAGACTTCTAGAACTCTGTGATGTACTTATACACAGAGCTTGCAAATGCATCCCCACAGTTCCAAGCAGAATATTTAGAAAATCAGGTTCTGAGATGATGGCAATAGTAAAGGAGGTAAATGATGGTGTGACTTTTGTAGGGCTGACCATAGGCCAAAGATGTACACTGGTGGCCTATGGTAATTCAGAGAGCAGATATTTGTGGAGTCCCTACCATATGTATTTTTTTAATTGTGGGAGTTACCAACATTTACAAATCAGAAGTTTTTACGTCTATAAAAGACATATGTCTGCTTCTCCTGAAAATCCAGAAAAAAATCTGGCTTCACTGGACCCACATTCTTTCAGGGCAATAAGAGACCATCTGAGAAGTAAGTGGCTTACTCTTTCTGATGGGACATATACTCCCAGGGTGCTCCTACTTGGCCCCTTCTTTCATTTTTATTATCTGTGGGGCAGAGTTGTGGTTCAGGAGTAGGGTGTCCTGGTACCTAATATGGCCAGCATCCTCTTTGCCACTTGACTTAATCCTGAGCACAAGGAATAGGAGTCTTGTTATTAGCTGGTGCATTGGCACACTTTCTTCCACACAGGGGAACTCAAGATACCGACTACCTTTCTCCCCGTGATTCCATATAGTCCCACCTACGTTTTTTCCTCTTTTCTACCCTCCACGTCTGAACACTTTTTCTTTAGTGGAAAGGGCTGCTGTTAATCATTATTCTGGGACATGTGTGAGTTGGAACAATTGTGAGTATATTAATTTCCAAGAACTGTCATGACAAAGAACTGCAAACTAGATGGCTTAAAATGAAATTGTTTGCTCACAGTCCTGGAGCAGAAGTCAGAAATCCAGGTGTCAGCAAGATTGACACCATTTAGAGTTTCTAAGGGAGAATCAATTTCATGCCTTTCTCTTAGTTTCTGGTGGACGCTGCAGTCCTTGGTGTACCTTGGCTTGTAGACACCTCACTCTGCTCTCTGCCTCTGTCATCACGTGACTTTCTTCCTTTGTGTCTGTTTTTCCTCATTATAAGGGCACTAGTCATATTGGATTAATGCCCCACCCTAACAACCTTGCCTTAACTTGATGGCAGCTACAGGGACACTATTTCCAAACAAGGTCATGCCACAGGGACAGAAGATTAGGATTGCAACATACCTTTTTGGGGGATAAATTCAACCCATAAGCCTCAAACTAGCTTTTTGACCTGAAAAAATGGAGATAATAATTATATTTGTTAATTAAGATTCTTGAGAGGACTAAATGACTTCACACCATGCCTGCAACACACCTTGAACTCAACAAAAGCATCTTCATCTTTTTCCCTCCCTTTCTACACCTTTTCCCTCCTCTTCTTGCACTCAGGCACCTGGGTCCATGGCTTCTCTCTCATTTTGTTTGTTCAGGATAGAAACATGAAATGGACAAAAAATTCATGTATTACCTGATTTCATCCTTCCTACCATTCATTTAGCAGGTGATATTGAAGTGCCATCCTTTAAAATAGTGTGTTCACCTTTTACAGTATTTCCAGAAAGGATTCAGACTCCAATAGCAAGTAGAAGACTGCTCTGTGCTCGCCAGTATAGTATCCCCAGGCCTCCAGCTGTAAGTGTAGCTTCTTTTGAGAAAGAGAGCCTCAGGGGAGTGAGTCCTTCTCCCACACCATCCAGTGAATGGAAAGAGATCCCGTTGATCTTCACTGTTAAACGAGAAATTAATATAGGAGCTAGAGAAGCACCCAAGCAGGCCTGGAGCAATTCCTTCCTGGAACAGCGAATAATAAAAAAGCCTATTCAAGCCCACTCAGCCAATCCTATGCACCTAGAGGCTGCAGGCACCCACATCAACAGGCATGTGAGACTTCAGCCCTCTCGCAATTCCAAGGGAGAGTCTGTCCCATCTGGTAAGTATCATTTTGTGGTTCCTAGCTCTTTTCCCCTCTTATCAACTGGTCACATTTTGTTTTTCACTTCAACAGAAAGAGCAGCATTATTTGAATCAATGGCAGGTCCTATTCTAGAACATTCTATAAGAACTGTAGTTGTCGATCTTTAATGGAAGTATACTTGTTTCCACGTATTGTATTGGAGGAGAGAACAAGTGTGAGCTGATGACAAGATTTGATGATTTGGGTATTGCATCCCAGGTCCCATTTATGAAGCTCTCACCCTGTGCCAGATACTGTGCTAAGTATGCTACATTAGTTGATGAAATCATCATATAATACTCTTAGATAATGTTATTATCCCCACTTTACAGATAAGGAAGCTGTGAATTCATAGCACAGCATAATGTATGTAAAAATGATGTATCTTAGAATTGGATAATAGGAGGAATAATTTAAAGGTAAGAAGATGGACCAGAAGGGATGAGCTTTGGAATGAGGGAATTCTGAGCTCAGTACCAGAAATACTTGGGCTTAAATTTCTTCTTTCTCCTGTTTGAATTTTGTCGCCATGATCAAGTCCCATAAATGTTCCTTGAATATAGTATTTTCTGTTAACTGACAATCGCTACTTTGAAGAGATGTTGGTATTAGGGGGTTGACATAAAATTCCCTGAACATAGCAGGGCTGAGTAAATGGTGGTTGTGATGATGGTGGTGGTGTTTATGGTGCTGATGGTCTGACTGCAGGAGAGAAAATGTAAAGAAACAATGCATACCTCCAAACATTCTAGGAAGTGTCATGTAGACAAAAAATTAGACTAATTTTCTGTAGCTTTCTTCCCTGTTACTTTTTGGGTAGATTTTGCTGGAAATATTTGTACAGTTTGTTGGAACTGGCCTATAGAAGAGACAGATATTGACACAGTACAAAGGGAACCTTCTTTGAACTAGAGGAGAATGTCCTGGTTTGGCTGTAAATGGTAAAGTAGGAGCTGGGAGACTTTCAACCAAAGGTGCTGAGTCAGAGATTCTACACTTCTGGAAGGCTGGGCTTGCTGATGAATGTTGAAGATGCTGGTTGGTTAACACTTTTTGAGTCTTATGTCCAAGGCAGTGTGCTAAAATCTGAACATTAATTTTCAATTATGGTCCACATGGCTACCCTCTGAGACAAGAACTGTTATTTTTCCATGGTTTAGATGCAGAATTGGAGGCCCATTGAGATCCTGTAACTTTAGGGGTGAAGTCAGGATTCAAGCCTCCATTCTGACTCCAGGTGAGAGCATTCCTATATTAAGATTCCAAATATGGCAAGAATAGCTCTTGAGTACTGAGCAATTACTATGTACTAGATGTTTTACATTTTATCATATTCTTTCCTCAGATACTTACCTAGTTTGCTTTTTTTACTTCCTTCATATCTTTATTGAAATGTCACCTACATGGGTAGGCTTCCCTAACCTTTTCTACTTTTTTTTTCTCCTTAAGATTTATGATTAGCTGATACTTATACATTTCGTCATTTGCTTATCTATTGGTCTTCTGCCCCTCCCACTCCCTCTCCCCATAACTAGAAAGCAAAGTCCATAGGTGCAGGGATATTGCAGCTTTACTCCTTTACATACTCCTGATGCCCAGAATACTGCCAGGCACATAACACTCAAATATTAAATAATGAATAAATGAATGAGCAAATTTAATCCCACTAGCAACTCTGTGAAGTAGGTAATACAATCCTCACATTTCAAGTAAGGACAAAGAGGCTTGGGCCAGGTGATGTTCTGCAATTTAAATCTATGATGGTCCACCCCCAAAGCCTATTTATTCCATTGTACCTCACTGTTCCTCTAAGACAGTTTGTTACAAAATGCATCATTATTGAATTACACTCAGGGAAGGAATTCCTATTCTTTAGCTCAAGACAGAGGACTGCATATTCCATCTATGCTGTATTCTGTTGCTCCACATTCCAAAGCCACATCTGTGATCTCTGGTGGAATCGTCTTTCAGTGAATGGATCATATGCCAAGGCTGGAAATCCAAATAGTTATTAAGCATCTAGTTTTCATAAAGCAATGGGATTGGTTCCCTGAAAGCTTTTATTTTCCTGGCCACCCTTAAATGCTATTCCACCTTTATTTCCAGGAAATAATTCTCACGTTGGAGAAATCAGACTCACTAAAAATTTTTCAGTTCAACTTGGTTTGTGTGTAGTGGGAGATGCCCAGTACATACCAAGCGTAGGAGCATGTGTGATGGGCTAAGCTGAAATACCTAGTGATACACTCACCGTTAGCAAGGCAGTGTGCATTTAAAATCTTTTACATATTTTTTGAATTTTCCAGTGATCCCTTGGGTTGTTCCAAATATTTCAGACATCTCCATGCTATTCAAAGCCTTTTAAAAGTGCTTAGAAAGTGATTCAAAGCATAGTTACCTTAATTGACTACTGATGAATTAGACTTTAATTTTGTAGGTCAGTGGGCAGAATTTCTTTGGTAAAAATGTCAAGATTTTATATATATGATACATATCAACATTTTATATATATGCATACTTATATGTGTAAATGGATGTGGATATACATATATATCTTTTACATGAAACAATGATTACATGGTTGGGCAAAGAAACAAAAAAATCCGATCTATTATTAGTGTTTATTCATGTGCTGTGTGGTCTCAACATCAGATTAAATCACTGATTGGTTTAATTTTCACCTGGTTTGAAATTCCTAATAAAACTCAGTACATAATCGCCTCTTGGATTTTTAAATTTACAGTTGTAAGCCTACCTGGGTGGATCTGTTTGTTTTTGTATGGTATCTAACACCACTGAATAATTTCCACTCGCAAACTTTTCCTGAATTTCAAATTTGAGGCCTTATTTTCATCACCAGTTCTTCTGTTTCCCTCTCTTTAGAAGTTTTGAACTGTCATCCTTGAAATTAAACATTTTCTGAGGAGTCTGTAAAAATTATTTTGGGGGAGAAGGTGCTTTCAAACAATAGAAAGGAATAGATAGCATTTTATTTTCTTAAAGAAATATGGGAAGCATGTGAGGATGTCAGGGGATTTACATTTTTTTTCATTCAGCAGATTACAAACATTGATTTCTCAAACATCAGGTTTAAGAGAGATTTAAGTCCCAGCGGGCTGGCACAGTCCACACACTTCCATGCCACCCTGGCTCTCCTTTGCCTTCCAGGCCTCACCCTGAGGCCTCACACTGCCATGGACCTCCGCAGGAGGAGCCACACCCCCTTTGCCGTGTCCAGGGTCTCCAGGAGTTCCTCAGAGCTTGAGCTGGAGGAGAGGATGGCAGCCACAGGAGGCGCCCTGGCAAACCCAGATTCCCAAAGCTGGCTCCCCGGTGTGCCAGGAAATACAGTTGGAAGAGGCGCAGTTGCCATGGCACCAGAGATGCTCCCCAAGCATCCTCATCCCCAGGGGAAAGGGGGGCCTGAGGCAGATGCCTCCCTCCATGGCAATCTGGCAAGAGCACCCCTTCCTGTGCTGGCGGGTGCTCCCACCCATCTCCCCTCAAAGAGGTTAATCAAGGTTTGCTCTTCCCCCTGTCCCGCACACCCCAGCAGTTCCATACGGTTTGTTCACAGGCCCCTCCTAGGCCGGGGGTGAATGCTCACTTACATTGACCGCTGCGAGGGAATTGTTCCGTGAGTGCTGCCCATCTTCAAATCAATGCCTGCTCAGAACAACAGAAAGGGCCTCAGATGTACTGGTTTCCACAGAACCATTGTTAGGCTTCTGTGCAGCAGTTTTGAACCTAATAAATAATGTTGAAAGTCTCTATCGCAGCCAAAAAATGTTCCTTTTGAAGCATTTCTAATAGCATTTTTGTTCTTCAGTGTCTCCCAGTGTCATGAAGAATTTGTGCCTCACAATGAGGATGGGGTACATCGCGTGCCACTTTGCAATGAGCTGGCAGGGATGGCCAGGACCCCTCTTTGTTTTGCTCTCGCAGGTAAACGGTTTCACTTGCCAACTTGGGCTTTAGTTTAAGGATGTTTTCTAAGGGCCTTTTGAATCTCTAAACAGAGGTTTGGAAAACATAATTGAATGTCTGTAATTTAATAGTTAACATGAAATTTGATTACTCCTGATGTGCCTAGGGGAGTTCTTTAGGCTATATTAAGCTTTTTAATGTCAGAAACCTGAAGCTGGATCCTCTTTGGAGGCCGTGAAATACATGGAACTAAGTTTAATGCAAAAGAGGTACTGGATTTTCTGATTTGTACTAGGGAACATTGGCACAGCTTAGGGAACATTTTATCAAACTGGTGGTTTTGGGCAGTATTTTTGATTTTGGTTAGCTTCAGTTAAACATAACAGCTTTTCACTATGAGGCAATGTGGAAATGGATTTATCAAAATTTTTTTTGGTTTATGTTTTCTTTTTAAAGTAGTATTTTTTTCAACATTCAGGAAGAAACACACATCAATGTGACCAAGACATTCATGTGCAGTTTTACACTCAAGTTTCTTGCAGTTTTCCCACAGGCTTGGATTCATAGAAATTGATACATGGAGGTTGTAAATCCTACTGCACTTTACCCTTCAGTTCAATTTATATATAATATATATATAATGCCTATATACTACTATATGTATACTGTATGTCGTATGCCTACATTTAAGACTTGTCCTCATGTCCAAAGTCCAAATTTAAGTCTCAAAGTTTCAATAGGAATGAAATATTATAACCAATAATTTCTTAACATTTAGGAGTCTGTTTAATCCTTTGAGGACAATTTGATTTTTTTTTAACATCATTCAATGCACTTAAAAAGATATCCCCAAACTTTAGAGCTTCTCTTGTTTCAGATTAATATGACTTTATAATAAAAATGCTTTTATTTTTATGATTTATTTATTAGCCTGTTTTATATAAGGGGATATATCAATGGTAGCTGCTATGGTTTCTTGAGGATATAATGGCATCTACTCACAAGAGTTCACGTGATAAACATAAGTTCAACTTCATGCCATTTGGCTGGGGAGAAGTGTGTGGGCACAATCATGAACTTTATGTAAAATTTTGATACTGGGATATTTTAATTATGAGTTAGCACAATTGATTTTTTTTCAGGTCAAGAAATCATTGATTTAAGTGATATAAAACAATTAACCAAAATTTTGTACTGGTCAAGTCCAGGAGTAGACAATGTTTTTGATATATAATAAATGAATTTCCTCACCTGTGGAAATATAAAATAGTGAATTTACTGAAAATACTGAATAGCAGAAGCAATTCTGCTCAGATTGAGAAAAGTGATACAAGCAAAAGATATGAATTATATGGTCCATCATACTGTACAGCAGTTTCCCAAAGTGTGTTCTATGGAACACTAGAATTAGATGCTTTGTGAAATGGAGACTATAGATATGTGTATCTGAGAGCTGTGGCCACCATGCTCCCTCTGAAAGAGTTATAGTACTATATTAAGGATCCCAAAATATCCCATGACATAAAAATCAGTTAAACTCTAGTGTTTCCCAATTTTATGTGATCAGGGAGCTGTGATGTGTGTGTATGTGTGTGTGTCCACATATATTTATTTAAAAAATATAATGCCTATCAATACCTTACAGCTCTAGTGTCCTGTGGAACACAGTTGATAAAACATTGCTTAAAACCCTATTCTAAATATCCTAGAATCCATATAAACTGGTAAGGTTCAAAGTAAGGATTTCTTTTTTAAAAAGTGAGGTAAGAATAGAGCTAAGGAAAGCAGCTCTTCATAAATATCTCCAGGAGCCCATTTTCCTTGGAGAAATGTAATAAGCTATCTTATTTTTCCTCATTTTGGGTGCACATGGTTGGGACATTCGTTGGCCCAACCTTGACCATAGCTTAGATAGTGAGGGATGAAGAGCATTTCCAGCTTTGACTGTCAGAGTTATGGGCCACAGGTGTTGAAGTCTTTCTGAATGACACTAGAACTTAGACATAAATGCACCGAGGTAAACATAGTTAAGTCTTTTCCAGTGTCGTTATTTCTGAAAATAGTGCTGATTTAAACAGTTACAATTGAGTATGAATCAGTTTTAGGAAATTAATAATATGTATTTGTGTATAATACTATGACTAAGGACTAGAACGAGGTCCTATGGTATAAAATAATTGTTACTAGGGTTCTAAATTACAGCTTGCTTTTCTTTCCTCAGGGGTATGTGATTTGACTTAGGGTATATTTATTAACACATACTACAGTAGTCTTCTAAGGAAGATAATGTGTCACTTTAGGGAAAAAATGTTTTTCTGAAAGTTGCATTGGAAAACAGATAGTGATAAATTTTAAAAATTAGTGCATTGAAGAAGCAAAATATTTAAGAGAGTCTTTGGTGAATAATATTTACAAGTGAGAAATCCTTTTATAATATGTAAAATAAGTAATATTTATGGCAGATAACATTTATTGAGTGTCTATGTTATATTACGGGCTGTTCCAAGCATTTAGAATGTATTAATTCATTTAGTCCTCATAACCGCTTCACAAAGTATTTACTATTATCATTACCTGTACTTCACAGATGAAGAAGCTTTATATTTAACAATTACATATAAATTGTTGTTATAGTGTAATATTAAATTATATATATTCAAGCTAGTTATACATACATAAGTTTTAAAAACTATATTATACAATATTGTTTGTATATAAAACTATATTATTATATCATTAGAGCTAGTATATGTATACATAAGAATATGTGTGTATTCGACTTATACAGTGATCATATATAAATTAGTTTTTATACCATGCTATTGGTGCCTAAGTGAGGTGGGTATAGAAACTCTACTTAGATCCCCTCTCCTCCTTTTAACAAAGTGGAGAGTGGAAGGGGATCATTGTGGGTGGATGGCATATGGTATGTTTGAACACTCTGAAGAGCAAAGTGGGGTCGGAGATTTATCATCATCTAGTTCTTTTTGTTTGAAGTGACATCACCCCTGTGAACAAAGTCTCAGACACTAAAGACAGGGAAGGTGGTTTTGAGGTTTTACTAAAGACGGCAGCACTTTGCAAGGTTATGTGAGCTGACCAACGCCAGACTTGTGGAAGGGATGGGATGTTGTTGAGGGAGAGAGAAGGAAGCACTCGGGTGCAAGGGGTTGAGGTGCATCTGAAGAGCCAAGAATATACTCCTGTAAATGTGACCTGAACATACTGTCACTCCACCCTTTAGCTGTAGTTTCTTCACTGTTAAATTGGGATAACATATTTTGTTTACTGCAAAGGATTCTTTGGGGATAAAGTCTGCCATCAAATCAAAGCGTTTTGAAAAGCAAGATCACAATGCAAATGCAAATAATCATTTTGGGACTAATATCAACAATAATCAGCATAAATATTACCATCGGTTATGCAGGGCTACCTTAAGGCTTACAGAGCCAACTGCATTACACTTGCAGTGAGCATTGTTTGTGGTGCAGGTGACCATGTCTCTCTCAGAAGTTTTTTGGGGGGGGCAGAGGGGAGGGGTGTTCCTCCTGAAGAGAAGAAGGGGTTAGTCTCAAGAGACATGAGGCTCCTCTCGCAAGGGAAAAGGGGGCTATTTTTGCCAGAGAAAAGGGGTTAATCTCTCCAGAGATGGGGACCTGCAGGTGAAAGAGTATGTGTTATCCTCAGGAGAGGGGAGGGCCTACCACTGTCGGGAGAAGGAGGTCCCTCTCAGTAGAGAAGGAAGAGTTAGTCTCGCGAGAGGAGAAGGGGTTAGTCTTGCGAGAGAAGGGGTTTTTCCCGCGAGAGTGGGGGATATCGCTCGCAAGACAAGGGGTTCCCCCTGAAGAGAGAAAAGAATTCGTGTCCCAAGAGAAGGCGTCCCTCTCCGTAGAGAAGGGGCCTGTCTGACGAGAGAAAGAGGCGTTTTTATTCTATATTCTTTAGCTCCGTCACAGCGTTATGAGGTAAGCAGTACAGTAGGATCCCATTTACTGACGAGGAACCGGCACACAGAGACAAAGCAATTTGCGCCGTGATTGCCTACAGCACCCATGCTCACAGTCATTATGTATTAAAAAAAAAAAGTAAATAATTGATAAATTAACAAAATATTCCGTTTAGAACCTCCAATTTAAGAGTTCAGTTTAGCCTACATAATGCCAGTTGGCAGTATCTACCAGCGGGTGTAGTCTTTTAGCCCATCTGTAAAAATCTGAAACTACCCAGACAAGGAGAGGAACAAGGCACTGTTTTTGTAAATACAACTGTGATGTTGAGGATTCTAAGTGATGTAGAAACCGGGAAAGAGGTTTTTGTCAGAAGGAGGCCTGTCATCAAGAAAAATGCTCCAGAATTCTTAAGGGGTAGGGCATCTTTATTGCACAGTCCAAGGTATTTGTGAAATACCATTTCCTGAATGGATCCTTTTCCACAAATTTTTGCCATATCTAGGCTCCTTCTCCTACTGTGCTCTTCATCTCCTCCAACTGGTATTCTCCGTCCTCTATGGAAATCAGTCTGATTATTCTGTAAGTCAGTGATTTTGGAATCAGTATCCTAGGTAGTCATGGTGAGAGATTTAAGAAGTGTGATGCAACTCAAACTGCATGTGTTGAGTATTTACCACATGCCGGACACTAGCCTTGGTGTTAGAGATGTCTACTCAAAAGGGCCCAATCCTTCTCCTTG